TTCTTTCGGCAAACATCGACCTTCGTGACCGCAAAGGATTGTCAAATGGACGGTTTTTCCATTAAAACCGCTATTATTTTAACTACCTTCACTCCCTCGGTAATGTTTATTTACGATGCAATATTTATTATTTACCATTATTAATAACTATGAAAACACCTTTTTTTTATTCGTAATTTTATATCAATGAATTATTAATCAAAATTTGAATAAACATGATTTTCTGAATATAATATATTTTATTCTCAGATTATTTTGTATTTCATATTACTTGTTTTAATTTGAATTTCATATGTTTGTGCTTTATTAAAATTCTAATAATCGCTTTTTAAAACAAAAACGTTCTCGAAGGAGTGAAGGTAGGTAAAATTGGCAATTAGTAAATATTTTAAAACTTATTGCATTGTAGACGGTTTAAATATTTTGATAATTTTGTAATATTTTTTAACATTTTTCAATAAAAAAAATGATTTATTATTTACATTATTCGGACTACTGTCCTCATCTTTGTCGCCATATTTATTACAACATTTCGGCCGTTATACGTTCCGGCCCTGAGGAGACATGGCACAGTGGATAAAGGCGTTAGTTAGATCCAGTGACAGGACGCAAAGTGTGTGAGTTCAATACTCGGTTAAGGCAGTGGAGAACTTGGAGAGGAGAATTAACAGGAGATAACTAAAAACTGACATCCATTAAACATGGCACGGGGAACTAGAACAGTCTACCCCAGTGAGCGAAATAAAGGGTTCAGTTCGGCATTCCAACCACCTGAAGAAGGCCGGAGCGTACAACAGCCGAAACTTTGTAATAAATATGGCGACAAATTGGAGGACAGTAGTCCGAATAATGTAAATAATGTACATAATACCTCATCTCAGAAATATAGGCAGATAAAAAAAAAAATATTTTCAAATTTATTTCTTTATAACATGTTAAATAACAAAACCTTTATAAAAGGTAAACCATTTTTATAATCTTGTAAATAAGCATTGCCGGGTTAAAATAATAGCGTCGTCAATGGAAAAATCATTATTTTGAAACTACGTTGTTTTTTGTTGAGACGAAGGTCTATGTTTGCCTGTCATTTTTCATTTTTTTTCCTTTTTAATTATCAAACTTTCTTTTATGGTAGCTTTCTTTGTTTATGTCTCTCGTTGATTCTTAGAAACGTCCGTCTTTTCTTCTTCCAGCATTATTTATATTCCTTGTTTTTTTGTTTTTTTTTGGTAATTCATTCCTCTACTTAATATTAGTTTTTATGTTTTCCAGTCGGAAAACGTTTCTGATTCTATTTCAGAAGAACTGACAATTGAATAGACACTACGCCTCTTATCCGAGGTTGAAAATCGTGTCAGTTACAAATACAAACGAAAGAGAATAATATTAGATTGGCCAGAAAGCGAAAAGAAAACAACAAATCTTGATCTTTGTCTGGTGGAATTTCCAAGGAGTACTGCATTTCGAGCTTCTTCCACGCTAAACTCTATTGAGGGCAGCTAGACCGCGTGTACGACAAACTAAAGGAGTTTCCAGCTTTGGTCAATAGAGGTCAGACAATGCGAAGGAAACCACATACTGCGAGGTTGACTGAGGAGAAGTTCAAACAGATGGACAGTCGCGTTATCCGCGGAGTCAGCAACCCTGGGTCCCCTTATCCGCGGGTGGCTAATCACAAAAAGATTTAAAAAATGGAATATATATATATATATATATATATATATATATATATATATATATATATATATATATATATAAAAGGTAAATAACAAAATGTCAGTTACTAGCTTGGCCAAAACTTCCTGACTCTCAAAGGAAGCGGAAAGAAAACAACAAATCTTGAACTTTGTCTGGTGAAATTTCCAAGGACTAATGCATTTAGAGATTGTTCCACACGTTCGCGCCATCGACATTAAACTCTATTGCCAGCAGCTAAACCGTGTATACGACAAACTAAAGGAGTATCCGGCTTTGGACAATGTAATTCGGGCTTTATTTCAGCAAGACAATGCATGGGCCACATACTGCCAGCTTGACTAAGGAGAAATTCAAACAGATTGACAGTATTGAGATTCTTCATTATCCACCATTCAGTTCCGATGCTACTCTGAGTAACTGTAATCTATTCGACGATGGAACACTTCCTCCGTGGCCAACGATTCAACACTTTCTATGAAGTGAAGAAAGCTTACTTAAAGAAGAACATCCAGAATGATGGACTTTATTTTGAAGAATAAATTTTGGCGTTGCTCCATAAAATTTTGTTGTTTTCTTTCCGCTTTCTAAATGAGTCAGGATTTTCTGGCCAACCTAATAGTATAGGTTACCTGAGAGGCTGAATAACAAACTCTGGTTCTGAGTAAACAGGTGCAGACAAATGAATGTTTGTGTTGTCAACAATTGGATTATCAAAATGTACTTTATGACAGTCGATGAGATAATATGAATCGTATGAAAATTTATTTTTTTTCATCATTGATTCGGTGTTTCTATGAATGACTAAATAAAAATCAGTGACACGAAGATAATACTGTTGATGGTAGATTCAGAATTAAAACAGAAAAACAAGTTATTAAACAATATAGTAAGTGTAAAGAAGAAGAAAGAACTAATTATTAATTGTGAAAAGACGGAATGTATGATAGTCAGCAAAAGGGGCAGGTCAAGGTTTGAGCGGCGTCAACATTAGGGGACGTCAAAATTTTTAAAGAACGGAAATTGAACTAACATACTAAAAAAAGACGAAATTAAAAGGCGTATAGGAAGAATGAAATAATTTTTTAAGCGGTTCACCCCAAGCAAGGCGGGAGGCCATTAGCACGCAACGGGTTACAGAGAGTTGCAGCGAGAGCAAAGAGGATTGATAGAGGAAAGGATGAAGAGAAGGTTAGGGGATAGATCAAGGCATCTGGAGACGTCGATTGACATTACATTTGAATAGTTGGATATCATAGCTATCAGGGAAACAGAAAAAGAGGAGGGAGTTCCACAGGCGAGAAGTGCGAAACATGAAGCTATTCGAGTAGAAGAGACGGCTACATTTAACAGTTTCGACAATGAAAGGGTGTGAGCGAGATGCCAGCCTAGTTGAGCGCTTAAATTCATGAAGTCTGGGAAACAGCGAAAGCAGCTCATCGGAGCAGATACCATGAAAGCATTTATAAAAAACATAGAGGGGGACAACGGCACGTCTGTGAGAGAGCGACTGCAGACGAGATGCCAGATCAGGGGCAATTACATTGCATATCCGTCGCTGGATCTTATCAAGAACCTTGAGACAAACAGAAGGGGCACCGGGCCATATATGGCAGCAATACTACATGCGAGGGCCAATGGTTGATTTGTAGATTTGAAGGATCGACTCCGGCGTGAAATATTTCGGAAAGTGTATGTTGTAATCTAGAAAGGGTTACTGAATGAGAAATGACGAAAACGGAGTTTGGAAATGAAATCGTAATCTTTATAACATCAACAAAATACAATACTCGCCAGCGGCGTGAAGTAGGTAAACCACTGTTAGTGGTGGACTACATAGACAGCATATTACGATATTTTCCTGCCTCGCCACAAGGAGTCAAATATTGGTTGAGTAAACTCTATGCCTGTGTGTCTGCGTGTGTCTTTATGTGTCCGCATTATGCACAGCCATAAAGCGAAACAAATTGATATTTCATTTCTTTATATAGTCAAAGTCAATTCGAATTGATCGGCATTTTTTTTGTTTATTTTTTCCAACGCTAATAAGAATTATTTACACCATCTTCATTGTTCGGATTGTTGCCCTTAGTTTTATTGTCGTATTTACGACGTTTCGGCCGTTGTACGCCCCGGCCTTCTTCAGGTGTTAGAATTTCGAACGAACTCTTTAGTTAGTCGACCGGAGTAGATTGCTATGTTGACGGATTCAACCATTTTCGTTTGATTTCTTGATACTGTTCTGTACGTTTGTCTGGGAGAGTAATAATTCTGTTGAGAAAGGTGAAATAGGGAAAATCCTGGGCGTAGATTAATATTTGGGTAATATTCAATGGCGGCACTCTCGAGGATTTTCTTTCTGAGTGAGTTATTTTCTTTTTTTATGACTGTAGCATTTTTAAAATCAAAATTGTGGTTGAATTTATTTCTATGTATGACTAGTGCATTAGCTAAGTTGTTTTTTGTGAGGTCTCATCAGACGAAACGCGTCGGCAACTATTACAGTTTTCCTATTGTCTTTTACATTTATAAATATTTTTTTTTTTTCAGGTTAACTCTGAGAAATTTTTCATTTATATTTATTTATATGTATGTTATAACCTAGAAAAGGTTACTGAATGAGGAATAACCAAAACGGAGGTTGGAAATGAAATGCTAATCTGTATAACATTAACAAAATACTATACTCGCCAACGCCGCGAAGTAGGTAAACCACTGCTAATGGTGGACTACTATTTAAACAACATATTACTCCCATTTACAATAGTGTCCAACGTATTTATAATGATTGGGACATACCCATTAGTGTTAATAGGTAGGGTGGGTATATAACAGTGCAAAAGGTACTAATGGATCAATCCATTAAGTTCGAATTCAAGTGCTGAATGCGAGACACCTATGTCATTTTACCTTATACGGCAGCTCATAATGATGGGGGGAGATAAAGCAACAAATAAAGACGTTTTAAGGAGACTCAAGACGACAAAGAAGCAGTAAAAAAAGAAAACTGAAATATTTTTTTATTTGCGTTTTTTATGGCTTATCAACCTTTGCAGAGTATTTAAAAGCCATAAAGTATATTTAGATTTGAGGATTTTTTTTTTAAAGATAATAATGATTTAGAGATACAAGTCTTAACTCTTTAACCCATAGCTGAGGAGAAGATGCAGATCTTACTCTTCCTAAGGATATTTGCGCGTAGGTGAATATAACGAGAATGTCTCAGGTGGAACTCGGCTCTCGATTTCCAATTTCGCAGCCATTATCCATAACACCATATACACATCAAACTTAGATCATGTGGAAATTCTCAAGCGGTCACCCATCCAGGTACTGACCAGTCTCAACGTTTACTTAACTTCGGTGATCGCACGAGAACTGGTGTATCAAAGTGACTGATGTAATCCAGAAACCCTTGGGACTGCATAATAAGGGGAAGGGGGTTGGGAGAATTTAACACGCACATGGCACATCAAGAAGTAGAGAGAAACAGCAAGTAATTGACAGCAGGAAGGCGAAGTGGCATTATCGAAAGAGAGTAAGAAAATAGAAGAAAATGTAGAGGACGGTGATCGCTCAAATCATACAGGAATACGACACAGACAGAAAGAGAGAGAGAGAGAAAGGGGGATGGAGAGAGAGAAGACTGTAATCGTTAACATCCTACAGGAATACGACAGAGAGAGAGAGAGTGAGAGAAGACTATAAACGCTGACACCCTACAAGAATACGACATACATAGCGCGAGAGAGAGAGAGAGCGAGAAAGAGAGAGTGAGAGAGAAGACTGTAATCGGCGACATTCTATAGGTATGCGAGAGAGAGACAGAGAGACAGAGACAGAGAGGGAGACATAGGGGGAGACAGAGAGTGGAGAGTGAGAGAAAACCGCATCGCTCACATCCTGCATGAATACGAGAGAGAGAGAGAGAGGGGAGAAAGTGAGTGAGAGAAGACCATAATCTCTCACATCCTATAGGAATACGACAGAGAGAGAGAGAGATAGAGTGGGGAGAGAGAGAGTGGGGAGAGAGAGAGTGGGGAGAGAGAGAGTGGGGAGAGAGAGAGAGTGAGAGAAGACCGTAAACGCTGACATCCTACAGGAATACGAGAGAGAGAGAAAGAGTGGAGAGAGTGAGAGAAAACCGCATCGCTCTCATCCTATAGCAGGCAGAGAGAGAGAGAGAGAGAGAGAGACAGACAGACAGACAGACAGACAGACAGTGAGAGAGAGAGGACCGGGATCGTTTACATCCTACAGTAATACTGCAGACAGACAGGGTGAGACAGAGACAGAGTGAGAGATAATTAGAGAAGTCCGTGATAGCTCCCGTCCTCTAGGAATACGACAGAGAGAGGGAAAGAGAGAGGTTGACAGAGATAGTAGGAGAGGACTGTGATCGCTCACATCCTACAGGAATACGACAGACAGACATAGAGAGAGATACACAGAGAGAGAATGAGAGAGGACTGTGATAGCTCACATCCTACAGGAATACGACAGAGAGAGAGAGAGGCAGACAGACAGACAGAGAGACAGACAGACAGACAGACAGAGTAAGAGACAATGAGAGAGAACCGTGATAGCTCACATCCTATAGGAATACGACAGAGAGAGAGAGAGACTGAGAGAGAGGGAGACAGAGAGAGTGAGAGAGGACTGTGATCGCTCATATCCTACAGGAATACGACAAACAGACAGAAAGAGACAGACAGACAGACAGAAAGAGAGAGAGAGAGAATGAGAGAGGACTGTGATAGCTAACATCCTATAGGAATACAAGAGAGAGAGAGAGAGTAGACAGAGAGACTGAGAGAAGACGTGATCGCTCACATCCTACAGGAATACAACAGACAGAGAGAGAGAGAGAGAGAGACAGACAGAGAGAGAGAGAATGAGAGAGGACCGTGATAGCTCACATTCTATAGGAATACGACAGAGAGAGAGAGAGAGAGAGAGAGAGAGAGAGAGAGAGAGAGAATGAGAGAGGACCATTGTAGCTCACAATCTATAGGAATACGACAGAGTGTAAGAGAGAGAGAGAGAGAGAGAGAGAGAGAGAGAGAGATAAAGAGGAAGAAAAGAATAAAAGAGATTTTCAGGAATGAATAAAGGATGTTATTGAATAGAGACACTTAGAATATTTTCCTAAGCCAACGTAACCATGATAACATCTTCCTAAATT